TCTCTCTCCCTCTCTCTCCCTCCCACTCTATCTGAACAAAAAGTGGAAAAATGTCCTCGGGTGAGGATAAAAAAAAAAAAAAAGGAAAAATACGAAAACAAGTACGAATTTCCTATTTAATAACCTTTCCCTGAGGCCTTCTTTACAAAAACCCTTCCTCTGCCTCAGCCTGTAACTCGGTGGCATTTGTCGAGACCTCGGTGGACGAAGCTGTAACCACCAGGGAAAACAAGGGTTTCCACAGCACGATCTATGTCGACCTGTTAACATTAACCTAACCCTGAAACCAAAGCACTGTAAGATGACACACACGGTCATCCATCACGGCGTCCCCATGCTCGCCCCCCTGTAGGGACACCCCTCAGCTGCCCGGGGGTGCACAGATCAGGTTTCACGGGGTGACGTGCACTGACCCACATGATTTTGAGCAAAGTGAACCATGTCCAAGCAGAGGCTTTGGGTCATCACATGGCTGGGCCCTTGCTGGCTTCCCCTCCGCCAGGAAAATGCAAGTCCTTCCTTCAGACACCACGTGGACCGAGCGGTGGGGCAGGCGGCCCCCAGCAGCCAGGCTGTGCACACGAGAAGTAAATCTGTGTTGCTATAAACCACGGAGACATCGCCTACCCTGCCAGTCAACTACAGACGGCCCAAATGGAAATAAACGGATCGGGAATGAAGTCCCCTGCTCCCCGCACGATCGCGTGACCACGGCTGGGCTGGTGTTTCAGCCCTCACAGGACCAGGTGCTGGTCATTCTACTCGAAAGTCTCCCCACTGAAAGGCAAATCCACACCCCCCCGGAAGGCAACGCAGCAAAACACAGAGCTGCAAGCTGCCACCTGATGTTTTCATGGTGTGACTACAGAAAATTGTCAGACAGTTGACCTTACTCGTCTATAAAAGTCTAGAAGATACTGGAGACACTTACTTGCGTAAATCTGATAAGAAGCAAACAAGAGAAACCGGATCAGAGGAGACAGAACATGGGCCATTCTGACTCTTCTGTTTGCGGGCCGCTTGCTTGGCCGCGTGGCCGGTGCCACGGCTCCGACGTCTGCACGGACACCATGACACGCCCGTGGGCCTGGGGGAGGAGGACAAGGCACAGAGTCCTGTCCGTGCTCAGTGGCATCCAAACTGCAGCTCTGCTTGGAGACTCGCTTGGTCCCCCAACTCTGCCATGTTGAAAGGTCCCCAGAGAAGGTTCTGGAAACTGCTTGTGTCGGTTCTCACATGAGGCAGAGCTGGGAGCAAATACTAAGTGACCACATTGTCTCCTGGTAACGGGGATCCACGCTGAGCTCAGAAATGGGGCGGAGCTGTGTGGCTAGCCACTCAAGGTCCCGTGCCTCTTCCACTGGCCCAGACCCTCCCACCCTCGTGAGGGACCCGCCCCGGCCTTCGACTTCCAAGTAGTGACTTAATTCTGTATTTAAACAAGTAGTTTTCTACCACAAAAGATCAGGAACATTCAATAACCCTATAAAACACGAGGTCAAATATTTTTTCAAATATTACCTATCCATGTTTTTCCCTTGAGTGTAGCAAAATTAGCATTTAGTAAGAACCACCCATTGCTCACGGAGCTAAGGGTTCTTTGGTTCATTTTAAGCTGCATCTCTCATCGTCAGAACTTTCCGGGCTATGTGGGAAGAGTCTTCAGAAGTCTGAACAAACCGTTCGCTGGATTATTCTGAAACGTGCGACTGTAGGAAGAGCCGTTTGCCTACCAGACCCTTCTTCAGTAATTCAGACACTTTCAATCCTCAGTCCAAAGCAAACTTTCCAAAGTCAAACCACTCGCAGAACTAAAAATATAATCGAGTCTCCCAAAAGAAGCTCCAATCCTCGGCGAAAACAGACCTCAAATTCTTAATCCCGTGTCCAAAAAAAAACTGGACCAAGCATCGACGATTTCCAACCCAGAAAGCCACAAATGGTTCTCATTTACTCTCCTCCCGGGGTATACGGCTCAAATAAAAAATTTCCTGAATACCCCAAATTTCAGATGCAGTTTGGAATGCAAGGGATTCATAACGCGATGCAGGAAACATTATGATTTCTCTTCCCAGCTCAGGGCTGCTGGGACGCAGGCCCCGGGAGACCGCCCCGCCCATGGCAGGCTGTCCGCTCGCTGTGACCCAAACGTTACACTCTCTGCCCCCAGGACACATGGGATTTTGAGCTCTGAGCCACCGGCTACTCCAGCTACTGTTCAGGTAGGAAGAACGTTACCTCGGGGGAGCTGACAGAGCCACACCTCGCTCCACGGCCAGGAACAGGTCACTGTGTATCTGTCCCCTCTTGCAAAGGCCAAGCTGGGTTAAATGGGAAGAAGGTTGTGTCCTTCCTTCCGCACCAAGCACACGGACAGCCCTCGGAGCTGTGTTCTAACTGAGTCCCGGTGTGAAGCTCCCGAGCCTCGGGCCAGCCTGGTCCGCTCGGGTCTGCGCACCTCACCGTCAGGTGAGCAGGGACCCCCCGGACGGCGCAGGCCCGTCGGCCGCCAGGAAGGACACGCACCGCCGCGGAGGAAGAAGTGCGGCCCGGTGTCCGGAGAAAACGTGGAAACCAGGCGGCTGGGAACTGTGGCCGCTCAGAAACAGAGACCTGTACGAGGCGCCAAGATTACGAAAGTTTTATAAAGCATCGAGGGGGAGCCCTGGACGGTTTGGCTCAGCGGTTAGAGTGTCGGCCCACGGACCAAAGAATCATGGGTTCGATTCCGGTCAAGGGCAGGTACCTCGGTTGCGGTTCTGTGCCCGGCCCTGGTCCAGGTCACGTGGGAGGAACCAGTCGATGTGTCCCTCTCACGTCGATGTCTCCCTATCACGTCGATCTCTCTCTCTCTCTCTCTCTCTCTCTTTTCCACTGTGTCTGAAGATAAACGGAAAAATATCCTTGGGTGAGGATTTAAAAATCAAGGCATCAAGAGGGCAACTGCAGGAAATAAGGTGGAGATCAATCCACGCCTGCCCCTCCCGAGAGGGTCCCTCTCAGCAGGACGGGGCGACTCCGAAGCAGGATTCAAAGCCCAGCACCTGACACCCCGAGAGTCTGGGCAGTGGACAGAGCTCCCATCTGACGGGACAAACAGGAACGATGGGAACTCAGCTACAGGGACTCGCAAAGCTTAAAGTCATGACCGAGGCAGAGAGGAGAAGCAGCTACATGGGAAATAAAATTCATATCACCTGAGACCAGCATTAAAGCACCTACAAAACAGCAGGTCACAAAGTCAGTTTCAGAGTTCCAGAGGCAATTTTGAAGTTAGAAACATTTGCAAAGAAACACAGACTGAACCTATAAATTAAAAGTATGACCTGAGATCACGTGAGATCAGTTTGCCTCCGGAAACTACAATACCATGTAAGATACTTGAAAAAAAAAAAAAAACACAAAAATTAATGTCTCCAAATTAAGAAAAGCTCTGTCTACATTGGTGGCTGGTTGACTGGACAAACGCACGCCCTAAATAATTTTAAAGCGGTTTGAATACACCTGGCTGCCAAAAGATGCGGTTTTCCGTCCAAGCCAACCCTCTAGAAAGAGTCCTCTCTCATTTTTCCGTACAAAGAGAGACATAACTGGACAACCACCTTGGTTAGCCAGTACGTATCTGTACTGAACAGGTGTGGTGGCCCCTGCCATCAGGTCACATGCCTCTGGTCACCTGAACACCCAATCTGCTTCCTCTCGCCTCTGCAGGTTTGATGCTTGGAACCGAGTGATAGTGGCATAAGGCTCTGTAAACAGTAAGCTCTCGGGGCGTCAATACCACGATGGACACCGAGTGTCCAGGACATCGCAGAAGGTGAATACGCAAAGAAATGTCACCTCCCCGATTCTTTCTCTCCTCCCTTCCGCAGCTGAAAATCCAGGCACTGGGTTTTCCCATGTGACCCGTCCATGTCTGGGCAGAAGATGACACCTCTGCATTCTCTTCATCATTAGCCCAACAGCTTCCAATAGCAGAGCCCCTCTGAAAACTTCTCTTCTCCCTTGGACTCCCGCCGAGGGATCACCTAAGTCCAACTCCCAGGTTATGTCCAGCCTGGCAGCACTACCTGCCCCACCGGGGAAGGTTAATGTTGTGTTAACTTGGCTGGACCACCGGGTGCCCAGACCGTTGTCCTAACGTTCCTTTGGGTGTTTCTGTGAGGCGATTTTCGCGTGAGATTGACATCTAAATAGACGGGCTTCAGTAAAGCAGACTGCCCTCCATGGTGTGGGTGGGCCTCGTCCCAGCAGTCGAAGGCCTGAATGGAACAAAACGGTGCTCCACCCCCAAGCAGAGAGAAGTCCCCTGTTGACGACCTCCCAACTGGGGCATGTGCTCTTCTGGCCTAACAGTCTGTGAGGCAGGACATCCGTTCCCTCCGGGTTTCGATCAGCCCGTGACCTCTGGACTCAAAGTGGGACATCGGCTCTGCAGACTGGGGTCCTGCCGGCCTCCCCCCCCGCCTGAGCCACTTCCGTACAGTGACTCTCTCTGTGCCTCTCCCTCCCTCCAGGTAGGTAGGAAGTTAGACAGACAGACTAACAGAGGCCCCACGGGCTCTGTCTCCCTGGGGAACCCTGACTAACACATTTTCCTTAAGAAGCCCAAAGTCTGATTGTGGGGATAAACCCAAGGAACCTTTCTCCAGAAGGCCTTTCGCAAACAATGACACAGGCTATAGTGCTATGAGCCAAATAAGCAATCAAATTAAAAAGGTATCAGCAAACACTCAGGGAATGAATGAACAGTGCTTGACAGCGTGACCTGCCACGGACAGTATCAGAGGGCGGAACCCTTCCCCTCCGGGGTGGCCATGAAGCGGGGGAGGCCAAGGTGCTGCCCGTCCTGCCCTTCCTGCTACGGTGACGCACCGAGATGTGTGCGCTGCTATGAGTTAGTTCCTGTGGCCGAGCAGGCCAACGGGAAGGCCCCCGGAAACACGGGGTGCAGCTGTGACAGAGAGCAAGCCTAGCACACGCGACGCCAACAAGCTCACCTGAATGGCAGCCAAGTTCTTTTGCTCCTGCGACGGTGCCTGGTGAACGAAGCGAAGCCAGTTGGAGTGTCGCGGGTTGGTGGCATCCAAGATGTACAGGACCTCCCCCTGGCTCCCACGGACCTGGAACACAGAAGCCCCCGAGGTGACTGTGAGGTCGGCGGCGGCCCTTTGGACACACGTCAAGGTTGGAATGCGGCGTTTTCGGGCAAGCGCACACCTTTCTTATTAACAGGTGTTGAGTGGATGCCGGATTAGCACCCCCGCTTCCCCATAAACAGACGCACCGACTGAGCCTACTGTTGTGTTTGGCAGGCGTCCAGGTGACTCACAATTGCAATCAACTCTCAGAAACATCCTGTGCTGACAGCCCCCTTCCGGTCAAGATTACTTATTTGTCGGTTTATCTTAATTCATGTGTCGCAATTGCCGTTGTTGAGGGGGTACCGTCACCGCAGAAGAGGGTGACTGCTGGGCTCCCGGTTGGAGGGGGGGCTGGAGGACCCTTTCCACTCCCCTCTGCACCTGCCGCGGACCCGTTCCCACACCAGGGAGCGCGCGGACCTCCCGGGAGGAGCTGATGTGCACAGGGCCATGATTTCACATTTTTTAACTCGCGGGTGAACAAACCTAGTTCCATTTTGTCTTTCTGGCTTGCTTGTTTCATGCCGTAAGCCCTCCTCCTCCGTTCTACTCATCTTTGCACTGGGGGTGGGGGGAACCTGCCGAAGGAGCAGGTACCACACTGGACATTCTTCAACCCGGGTGGTTCAAATCTAGCTTCCCCGGAACCCGGCACTGTGGGTGCAGGGCACTGGCTCCCTAATGAAACATCTCCCGATCACCCCATGCTCGCTGTGTGATGATGTGCAGCCGGGATCCAGGGTGGGGGACAGCGAGGGAGCACTTAGCTCTCCAGATCTCCAACACCAAGGAACCCACCGTGACACAGACTTGGGGCAGGAAAAACAAATTCCAGATCTCTAAGATGTTGTTGTATAAGATAAAGCACAACCAGCCCGGAAAAGACATTGTCACGTGCACCTGGACAATCGTTCACTCATTTGACCAACACTTGAGTCTCTACCCTGTGCCCGGAACTTGCTTACGGCCGGACTCTCTGGGCGAACAAGGCAGACGAAGGCCCGGGTCCCAGCACCTCTAACGAGCACCACCTACGGGGAAGCACGGGGAGACCCACCGAGCAGAGCAGGAGGAAGGGGTGAGACACACGGGCTCTGGCGACGAGGTGCCCAGGCAGGGCTCCGAGCGGGTGTCCGGGAGGAGCTCCAAATGAAAGGGACACTCCAGGGGAGGGCGGGGGAAGGCGTGTCCAGCAGAGAAGGCACAGATCTGAGGCAGGTAGAGAGACACTGTTGGAGGAACAGCAACAAGGCCACGGCTGGAACAGAAGGAGCTCAGAGAAAGTGGGGGGCACTGGGATCCGACAGGGAGCACAGGTCAGATCCTGCAGGCCACAGACCATCCACGGAGGTCCTTCAGCTGTCCGGTCATCTGCTCACAGGACGCTCATCTGCACTGCAGCCTTCTCCTCCTGGGACGTCTACCGGAGACGTCCAGAGACAACCTAATCCAGCCTTTCTCTTTCCAGAGCAACCAAATCCGAAAGCTGCAGACAGATGGCTGTTCTTTTTTTTTTTTTTATCCTCACCCGAGGATATTTTTCCATTTTTTGTACAGATAGAGTGGGAGGGAGAGAGAGGAAGGAGAGAGAGAGAGAGAGAAACATTGACGCGAAGCGACACATCGAGTGGCTGCCACCCGCACGACCAACCAGGGCCGGGGAAAAACTGCAACCGAAGTACGTGCCCTTAGCGGGAACCGAACCCGGGTCTCTCCGGACCGCAGGCCGACGCTCTAACCGCTGAGCCAAACTGTCCAGGGCCAGATGGCTGTTCTTAAAGGCTCCATTTATCTACTTTAATTTGATACCACACCCTGAGGCAATACATGGAACATTTTTAAAGTCTCACAAAGAAAGAAGATTCAAAGTTCCTTCGTATCACATTCCAGCATCTAACCAACCTTTGCAGCCAACGTGTATTCTTTGTTCCTATCAAAACACATCGTCCATGCCCTGGCCGGTTTGGCTCAGCGGTTAGAGAGTCAGCCTGCGGTCCACAGAGACCCGGGTTTGGTTCCCGCTAACGGCATGTACCTTGGCTGCAGTTTGTCCCCGGCCCTGATTGGGTCATGTGGGTGGCGGCCACTCGATGTGTCCCTTTCACATCGATGTTTCTCTCTTCCTCTCTCTCCTTCCCGCTCTATCCGAGTAAAAAATGTAAAAATGTCCGCGGGTGAGGATAAAAAACAAAACAAAAAAACCCACATCATCTAAATACCATCTCCTTTTATTGGAATTTTCATGGACATGAAATGCACTGGCCACCATCCTGCTGAGGAATGTCTCCCGCATACCTGCGGCCCGTAATGACAGCCACATTCTCGTCCTGCGGTAACACCAGCCGCACCCCAACTCGGTCTGCTCTGCACAGGCGCCGAAGCCAGTTGTACAAAGAGGCAGAACACGTAGGAAGCAGAGGACACCTCTCGGGAAAATGAAAACCTTCCTGCTTCAGCACAGCCGTTCACACGACAGTGACTTGGCCACTTCATATGAAATGACAACGTTCACCGGGGAGGAACTTGGCGGGTCCCTGTCGCTGTCCTGTGCTCCGGACATCACTGTTCCGTGTCCGGGAGAAGCGCTGCCCTTGTCCGCCCCTTTCCAGACCGAAGATGACGGCACTGACTCTGAGTCACCGCGGATTCTGTCTCCCTGCCCAGCACCGGGCAGAGGAGAGGCACAAAGATTTAGCTCCACACAAGGACGTGCTGGCAGGTCAGTGAGCACAACACAGTGAAGCCAGGCTATCGATACCGATCTGTGTAAATGTGAATCTTCTCTCTGTTCAAGAGGGCCGACTGCAGACACAGGAGCATATTTATTATCTGGATGGGGAATGTTCACAGAAAAGGGGTCTAGAATGTTGCTTTATTTGCCTTCATGCTTAGACATTTAGTTTTCTATTAAATGAAGGAGAGGGGAAGACGAACAGGAACGGGACCTACTACATAGTCTTTTCAAATTTTAACTCTAATGCTTTTTTTTAATGTATTTTTTTTTCTTTTATTGATTTTAGAGAGGGAGGAAGGGAGAAGGAGAGAGAGACAGAAACATGGATGAGAGGGAACATCGATTGGCCGCCTCCTGCATGCCCCCCACTGGGGATTTGGTCCACAACCTGGGCATGCGTCCTGACTGGGAATCAAACCAGCGACCTGTTGGTGCAGGGTCGATGCTCAACCCCTGAGCCACACTGGCCAGACAACTCTAATTCTTTATAATCAGTTCCTCTAATAAAATTTTTTAAAAATATGTATGTTTCTACATTTCCCATTTCATCAGTTTTCTCCAAGTCTTAAATTATGTTTTTTTCATCCAGAGACGTCAAATGTACATAAGGGAAGCACCGACCAAGAATAATGTTCTCTATTAATTTCGCCTCATGAGGCGTAAGGACCCCCGAGGAGCACCATGGAGAACACGCAGAGAGGAGCCCCCGGCGGGGGGGGGGTGCCACTCAGCAGGTACACGGGGTACTGGTCTGAGTTTTTAAAACTGGGTTTTCCCTAAGAGAGAGTCTTCAATTTTGCAACAAACTACTTTTTAAGACAAGTCAGCTAAAATTGCAAAGGGACAAATGCTTTGTCCACAGACACCTCGCTTCATCGGCTGTTAGCACATCGGGTAAAAGCCCGAGTCCCGAGCTCTGACGACCACGCCCTGGACCCAGGACTCCACCTCCCGAATGTGTGACCGGGCGAGTGGTCCACTCGTGCACGGGAGCGTTGTCAGCTTGTCTTGTGAACATACGTGCTGTTGACCGTCTAACAAAGTCCTCCCCCACTAACACCGACTGCCCACTGGGTACGGTTCCGCCTTCTGTTTGCCTCTGACGGTTCTGCCCTCAGAAAGCCCATCGACAAGAACTGGCAATGTCCCGTAAGTATCGCAGTTCCTTCCCCTGTTGTTTTGGGAGACGGATTTTGCTTTAGAAAGGTGATACCGCGCCTGTACTGCGTTGTCATGACCTCGTGCGGGGGGTGACCGAACACGCCCTCATTTCGGTAGCTGGGAGGACGAACAGCCATGGGAGTCGGGCAGGACCCACGAGGCTACCAGCAGCCGCATGGAAACACCGGCCAGGCTGGCTCCTGAGGAAGTTATTGAAAGGAAAGAAATTTGGTTTCCAGAGCTTTTAGGGTTCCAGGTGAGTGAGTGGTGAGCCCACCCACCGAGGTGGGTGACTATGTTAGAATGGTGACAGGTGCTCTGGCTATGGGCCAGGCAAAGAGCCATGCCACCTCACTCAGGGAAGACATGCTCAATGACCTGCTGCAGAGGTCCGCCGAGTGCCGAGTGTGCCAGGTGGCACGTCAGCGGGCGCTCTGCGGTAGTTTGCTTGCACACCCTCCCGAGAGAAAGCGTGTCCCGGTGAAGAGCATCTCCAGCGGATCAAAGACGGCACAGAAGCCTGAGATCTACGGCCCATTCTGTGCACGAGAATACATTCCTCCTCTGCTCACCTGCAAACTGCATATTAAAATGCCGACTGGAGACAGAATGTGGGACCCGGGCCGTATTTCAATACGACCCTCCTTCGGGTCTTGAAATGTCTGAGATTGAAAAATACAACATCACCATCTTAAACGAGGACACGAGACTATGTATGTGTTTCAGTTGATCCCCAGGGCCCGTCAGAAGGAAAGATTTTTTTAAAAAACATGCTTCTAGCCCTGGCTGGTGTGGCTTGGATGGGTGGGTGTCCGCCTGAGCATGGAGAGGTGGCCGGTTCGATTCCAGGTCAGGGCACAGGCCCAGGTTGTGGGCTCCACCCCTGGTGGGGGTTTGCAGGAGGCAGCGATCGATGTTCCGCTCCAACGTCAGTGTTTCTCTCTCTCTTTCCCTTCTCCTCGCTCTAAAAATCAGTTTAAAAAATCTTTTAAAAAATAATTGAATTAAAGAAAAACATGACTCGTCCTTGCGAAGTGAAAAGTGACGCGGAGGCCCTTCAAAGCGTTCGTCATCTGAGCTGTCC